TTTTGGAAATGGATGAGTTGTCCTTGTCTGGAAGTACAGTTTCTTTATGCGTAAAAGATTCTTTTTTTGTGTGTTTTGTTCAGCTTTTTGGTTGTTTTATGTATAAGGGTAAAGGAATCGTTTTCCTGTAAGTGAATTTGGCTTTTACTACATTGACTGTAGAGTGTAAGCTTTATTTTGTCTGAAATGTTGAATATGTGGTTTTTTTAAATGTTTGTGGTCCCCTGGTTGTCTGCTTTACATCCAACTCAGTAATTATTGTCCTTAACATTAACAACAAAACTATGACTTTAAATTAACATATGTTGTTTCAATTTTGCAGCTACCAATGGAATGTGCATTCTAGAATTACATCATGGGGCTGGTGTGAAAACAGGGTTTATAAAAAGGGTAAGGTATGTTATTTGGACAATATTGTAGAGGATTTTCTATCCTTGTTAGATTTACTGAAAATTGGGAAAGGTCTTGGGTATGATGTTGACATTTCTCAAGTTGAGCAACGTTTGGAAATTAGGTGTGAAAATGCTGTGGGTGGACTGGAGCTTGTTACATCAGATGCAACAGTTGTTGAAATGGTTGGTCACATACCATCCAATAAGGGTATTGTGTTATACTATAGTGAGATTCAAGAGTATGAGTATGATGCAGATGCAGAGAATTGTGATGGAGAAGAGACTCAGAATTACCAAGTGAATGAGGTGGCTTATATTGAAGTTGGAGATGAGGAGACTTTTGAGAAAGTTGGGACAAAAGTGGCAAATGAAGATGCCATCAAAGATGTACCAAATGAAGATGCAGGGGCAGAATTACCAACTGAAGATGCAGGGGCAGAAGATGTAGGAGCACATGTGACATGAGGAGACTTTTGAGAATGTTGGGACAAAAGTGGCAAATGAAGATGCAGTCAAAGAGGTACCAAATGAAGATGCATGGGCAGAATTACCAAATGAAGATGAAGATGAGGATTCAGAAATTAAAAACAGTAATTATGAGTTCAGTGAAAATGAGGCAGAGGTCAGGCCAACTGTTGGAGAGAATATAGCAGATGAGGGGACTAATCATGGGGCTCTAGGAGAGGTTTCATCAGATGGTGCTACCACATTAGAATTTGACACTAGAAGTGAGATTGAAGATGAGGGTAACAGTAGAAAAAAGAAAAAACTGCCAAAGTTTGAGCAGTAAAGAAGAGATGTGGATTTGAAAAATCCTGAGTTTAGATTGGGAATGAAGTTTGCAAACAAAAAACTATTGATAAAGGCTGTCAAGGAGCATGCAATTATACATGGTAGGGAAGTGAAATTGATAAATAACGATAAGAGACGAGTTCAGGCAAAATGTGTGGAAGGCTGTTCTTTCCAAGTACGTGGATCAAAGATTGATATAGAGGAAGGGACATGGCAATAAAACTTTGAGCCTAGAACATCAGTGTGGAAGAGTAGACAAGCTTAGATATACCACATCAAACTGGCTTTGTGACAGATATGCAAACAAGCTCAAGCGCAACTCAGAGTTTGATCTGAAATCATTTCAAGAACATGTGTTGGAAGATTACAAAATAAATGTCACAAAAATTCAAGTTTATAGGGCAAAGAGGCTGGCCAGAGATTTAATTGAAGGTACTTACAAAGAACAATATTCTAGGTTGTGGGATTATGCTTAAGAATTGAAAAATGCAAACAGGAGTAGTACAATGAAGATTAAAACTCGAGTTGTGAAGGGTAAGATAGTGTTTCAGAAGATATACGCGTGCTTGGCTGCTTGTAAGAAGGGATTTTTAGCGAGTTGCAGACCTGTTATTGGTGTTGATGGCTACCATTTGAAAGGGCCTTAGCCTGGACAGATCTGTTGGGGTGGATGGGAACAATGGTTACTTCCCAGTAGCTTATGTTGTGACTCTTGGATTTGGTTTTTCAATCTGCTTATTGAAGATTTAGGGATTACACATGAAAGAGCTTGGGTAGTCATTAGTGACAAACAATAGGGACTTGTACCTGCCATTGAGACAGTACTTCCTACTGCAGAACACAGGACGTGTGTGAAACACCTGTACAATAACTTCAGGGCATCACATATTAATCTTGCTCTGAAACATATATTATGGGCTGTAACAAGAGCTACAATTGTGCCTTGGTAGGAGGCAAAAATGGAAAAAATGAAAAATGAGAATGAGGAAGCTTGGAAGTGGTTGAAGAAGAGACCCACAAAAAATTGGAGCAAATCTCACTTCGAGTCACATTTTAAATGTAATCTTTTTTTGAATAATCTATGTAAAAGTTTCAATGCAGCCATACTAAACCAAAACATGATTACAAGGAGCCCCTTTGATCTTTCAACTATACAAATCCAAATACAATCTGTGTAGAATTTTCGAGAGAATTCCTAAACCAGATACAAGCATTGAAAGTAGCATGTCCTTTCTTAGCCTAACTGTCCGCCGAATGATTTGTTTCTCTATTAGCATGAGTATCGTTGCATCACTATTCTACCAGAAAGCGTCATCTTAAAATAAAAACTACGGCAACTGCAGGGTTCTTAGGGATGGGCAAAGACAGAAATTTAAAAATTTATCATAATAAAGAGGATGAAAAAATAGAGAGAGATTGCTATATGCCAGTGATGGGTATCACTGTGCATGCATGAGTACGTGTAGATGATGCGTGGAGTATCACAGATTCACAGCTCAACAAATATTGGACAACCCAAAATGAAATAATCTTATAATACATCATAAAGGCAAGGCAAATCATGAAGCCTGACAGATTTCTGCACTTTATGACCTCACATCTTTTAGGACACCCCCCTTTTCAAGTTCGCCAACTAAATCCCTCAACGACGGCACTTTCATGGCTAAAGTCCTGTACAGCCTAGAATAACGAGCTCGCGTTCCATCTGCAGTCCTTGCCAAGGCAAGCAAGCTTAGAGCTTCAGGGAGTTGGGAGAATACATGTTTCATCTCCTCCAAGCTCATGCTTTCCAGAACAGATGGTCTTGGGACAACCCTCACAACCTCACCCCCTTTAGGTTCTTGAATCTTGGCATCTGCTTTAATGACTAGTTCTGAATTAGAGTTTGCTCCGCACTTGATGATAAATGGCGTTGTAGCGCCTGTATTGAACTGCAGGACGTTCCACTGTGCCACGTCAGTTTCAGTACCAAACCCTAAATCTGTAGATGGTTTGAGAGCATGAGATTGCTCCTGAAGGTGATCATCTTCTTCGGGAATAGACTGCAACATAGAGATGATTCAGGGGTGAAGTAAGAGATTAATAATAAACTGCATTGTCAGGCAAATGCACTAACACACCGAAAGCAAACTTAAAAACCAATTTTATACACAGTTACCCATCAATTTTACAAGAAGCACCCTTTGTGTTAAAAAGAAAAAAATAGCGTGTGTGTATACCCGCAGGGAAATATCTTCTAACCAGATTGTCTGGCAACATAAGATGCTTAGGTTTCCAGACAATGTCATTGGAGCATTGATCAGGTCAACTTTTTGACTGAATGTGTTCAAATTCAGTCTGGTAACATAAGTCTGACAAGAGAAAGTGTTAAGCATTTCACAGATACCTGGATCACATGACGAGCATCAGCAATTTGCCTTTGCGCACATGGATGATCAATGTCAAGAAGGGAAGGCATCCGTTCAGCAAGTTCATCTAGAGATGCAAGCATTTGCTTCTTCTTACTCTTGCTCAAGGTGCTCATAGAGGATTGTGTCACTATATCCTGTACAAGAAAAATGTATTACATTTTCTTGTTTCTCAAATTAGCAATAGCCCAATCATCAAGTATCACCTAGAAAAAATAAAATGAAAAGGTGCAAAGAGGTAAACCTTGACTTGTTTCACTATGCCATCAAGGGAAATGAGAGATGCTAATCGTGCATCTTCAGCAGCAGTAGAAGGATTTTGAATAGGTGGGCCACCATCTTGCAATGTCAATAAGGCTACGTCACTTCTTATTTGTTGCAAAATCTGATGAAACCAAGAAATTAGCATAATATCCAACAATTGGTCCAAGAAGATAATAGAAACAAGGATCATTCCAGCCAACTTGTTCGTCACCACAGGAAATGGAAACATAAAAAGAAAAGAATTTTGACTTGCATGCCAGTGGATGGTTTATTGAATAACTTGTCAAACATAGGAACTCTGATATACCTTTTATTTTTAAATCTATTTTTTCAGTTGAGAGACCTAGATATCAAGCCAAGGACACAGGAAACCTCTTTCAGACAAGGGAGATTCTATGCGTGATCTTTTAGAAACATAAATTTGAGATGTCATTAAACAAGAGGTCAACCATAGAAAACAAACAGGTT